GCATCTCTTTTGGTGGGTTTAGATGCAACGGTCCATGCTCCGGGGTTAAAACAGTAAATACCGACCGAAAAATCTCTAGTAAAGGTAGAAATTTCTGTCAGGATTTCGTTTCTTACGATGCAAGAAAGCATATGGACGAACCAAAAATCCGTTTTGAAGCCACGAAAACGGATTACTCCAAGCCAGAGATGATTCCATTGCCTATCCAAAGGTCAGATATCGCAATGAACCTCGAGAGAAAGCTCTCTATGCTTACATGGGACGCGATACCAAACCATCTATCTACCAAGAACAACAATCACAACAATGGTAATAACTCTTCAATGAGCAGCAAGACGCAAGAAGAAGAGACAGCAAGCGAAACGAGTTCTGATTTGTTCGAGATTGAGAACATAACAAGCAGTGTCTACGAACCAAGCGAGGCTAGCATTGGATGGAGTGTAGTAACGGGAAGTATGGCAGATCAATCGGTGATTTCGGATTTCGATATGATGAAAAGGGTTGCGAGAAGTGGTTCGGTGGTTAAAACCAAACCGGCGGGTACTGAGAAAGTCAGGTCGGGTGGGTTTTTGTCGGGGTGTAAGAGTCACAAAGCTATTTCGGTTGTTGACAGTACTAGGAATGTGAAAGAAGCAGCCAAGGTTGATCATGAGATGTCTCATCAGAAGAAGTTTAAAACTGAGATTAGGATTCAAGACTTGAGCTTTCTTTAAGAAACTATGTTACTACTGTGTGGTGTGTGTGTTTTTTTTTCTTTAATTAGTTTTCAATTGTTTTTTTTGTGATATATTTTTCGTGTGTGTGTTAATCATTTTGATAATTTTGGTTTCTTGGTTTGCATTACTATTGAGAAAGAACAATAAAAAATTGTAGTTGTCGAACCCTACAATTTTGGTTCTAAGGGAATTTTGTTTTTAATGGACCTAGCTAGGATCTATAAACCATGGTTAGCTTTAAAATTCTATAAAAATTGTAGAACCTTTTTGAGACACTTACCAATCATATATTTTCTATAAATTTTATAATTATTTAGGTACAAATGATGATCCAATGTCCAAACCACTAGATCTTAGTCACTTTAACTTTAGTCTTCGGCAGTCGTACAATATATGCTCGTTAGCATTTAGTTTAGTGTAATTTTCATAACTTACTTAGAAGTTATGATTCTGCTTTCGAAGTAATCAAATAATGATACAATTTTTTTACCAACCGGCTAATTTTTCAGAAAGAGTCTAATGATTTCAAAACATTGACACTAATTGGTCAAAGAAAAATGATTAAATACTTTCACGGTTAAGATGAATCAATCCCTAACTTAAACTAACAAAACAACTCTTCTCCAACATGAAAACCAATAGTCAATCACCACTTAGTCATCTTTTTTTTTTTTTTTGAAACTTCCACTTAGTCATGTTTCTGTTGTACTTTATAAATAACTTTAAGAGATGAGATTCAAATATTAGGATTGCCATTTCTACACCACATGTTTCACCATGCACGTTATGCATTAATTATATTGGAACGAGTTATATAATAAAAACATCGTTATTACATAGATCCCTCTAGTAAGTCGTGACCCCACAAATTATGCATGTGGATTCTAATAAACGATGATAACTAGACGATGAGACAGCGAAATATTAATTAGTCTGTATGAGATTATACAAAATTGGCATTAACATCGAATACTTATTTGTAGCCATGCAATTGCAAACTTAGGGTTGGTTTGTAGTAAATGCGAGGGGAATGTTCTCAATTTGGGACCAATTCAATAACTAGAAACGAGTTTGTTAAATTTAGTCAATAAATATCGAGTATGGGCACTATTGGATGCAAAAGATAATAATAAATTGAACCGCCTTAGACAGCACTATAGTTTATCATACACATGACAAAAATATATATAATGGAAAATTTTAAAAATGCCAATATTAAAATATCTTTTTTTCAAATATACAACCATGAATTATCTACTTCTAAAAGTACC